CTCTCCTAAAGCTGAGAAAATTTGGAAGCTTTTAACCCCGCGAGATTTTCTAAAGCTAGCAAAAACTCAATATTTTAATACGATTACTCCCACTTCGATTATACTTATTACTACTACCAGTATTACCAATAATAATATTGATCTCAAATGAATACTATCTATACAACTCCTCAGTTCGTAACACGATCGAAGAATTAAATCAGATTCCTTCATCTATAAGTACCTAAGCAATTGCTATTGCTCACCTTACTACTTTCATTATCTCCGCAATTCATGCCTCCTGTTGTGGCTACTATCTTGAGTCTTTATACTGCCACTATCAGACTAGTCAGGCGCTGGAAGTAAAGGGGAGGGGTAAGATATGGTAAGATTAGGTTCAAAACAATCGACCGCAGATATCTCCCCGATGTTAGTAACCTGGCGAAACCAGTTTGTACGAAACTCCAACCCCCATAATAAAGCTCCCCAGCGCTAAAGATTCGGACGATCAAGAGTTGAAGATTGCACTATGGGAATAGATGTTTGCTCATATTTCTTTCCTGGAACGGATCTTGTCCCACCAATTCTGCACTCAGGTTGTGTAAGACCGAGTAATACCCATTCAATTTCAATTTCCCAAAACCCCATATTTACATAGATTCCTTACGAACAGAAATCGAACCTGTACGGTTGTGAGATGCAAGAAACGCGTGATCATGCACCCAGTAGACATCGATGACAGTTGAACCGATAAAAGACGATCAGAGCCCATGAGCATCTCGGTTTACCTTTAAGGGATACTATAAAGGTACTTTGAGGGTTTAGGGTTTGGGGGCCTGAATAGGGTTCAGGGTTGAGGGTTCTTTTCTTTCGTCACTTCGTCCAAATCCTGGCTTCTCTTCCGGACGTATTCGCCACACTCAGATACCTCGACTATCGCAGAGCTTTCCTGAGTATACTCAGCACGGCTTAGGGTTTAGGGTCCCATACCCTAAACCCCTACATCAACCTCAAACCTGATCTTGGTATTCAGGGCACCACAGCACCATGGGGCCCATCGTGCTGACCTCTAAACGAGTTGTACGGAAAGAAAACTCGGACCCCCGCCCTAAAACCTAAACCTGTTTGGGGTCAAACCCAAAATCCGCAATGAATCTACATAGCATCCTTTCGTCCCCAAAGTCTCAATCCCAACACCATAAGTCATGACCCCAAACCCTCAACCCCGAACCCAGCCCCACCAAACCCTGACCCCTAAAGCCTAAACCCCAAAGCCCCAAACCCAAGGAAATAAAAGCTAAAACTTTCAGAATCGACTACCGTACAGGAGCCCCACAAGTTGGAAAAGTTGAGTTTACAGCCAATAAGAAACCCCAAAGCCCCACTAAACCCTAAACCCGTAACCCCTAAACCCGTAACCCCTAAACCCTAAACCCCTAAACCCTAAACCTTAAACCCTAAACCCCAAAGCCCCAAACCCTTCATTGAACTCCAACTCCTCGCATACCGGGTCACGAGGGAGCGCTGCACGGCCTCGAAGTCCTCTGTGAGCTCACGAACTCTGTTGAACTTTGCAACCAGTCCTGGGAATAGGGTTTGGGAGGTCACTCATGAGACGGTAGTTCGGGTCTGTGTGTGTGTGTGTGTGTGTGTGTGTGTGTGTGTGTGTGTGTGTGTGTGTGTGTGTGTGTGTGTGTGTGTGTGTGTGTGTGTGTGTGTGTGTGTGTGTGTGTGTGTGTGTGTGTGTGTGTGTGTGTGTGTGTGTGTGTGTGTGTGTGGGTGTGGGGTGTGTGGGTGTGTGTGTGTGGGTGTGCGTGTGTGCGTGTGTGGGTGTGTGTGTGTGTGTGTCCATGTCCGTGTGCGTGTCTGCGTGTGTGCGTGTGTGGGCGTGCATATTGTATGTTCGTATGTATGTCATGGGACAACCGTTCTGTGTCCAATCAGCGGCATCCTGTCGCCAAGTCATTATGACACCCTTGTTGCTAGTTTTTGGGGTTAGGGCTTTTTTCCATCGTCATAAGAATTTGAGGGCTGCCTCAGTAACAGCTCCATTGTGAAAAGCAGCTGTTCTTCAGGCTTCTGGTTGCAGGGTGCGCCAAAATATCCCAACCTCTAATCTCAAAGCTGCGAAATCTTCGACCCTGTATTCTGCACTCTTAAACCCAAAACACTTTAGACCCCGAACCCAAAACCTCAAATAAATCCGAAGCCGAAGCTTACCGGAGGCTTTATGGCTGTAAAACTCTCAGCCACTTAGTTTCTGGAGTTAGGGTGCGTTTATTGAGGGGGCAGGGTTTAGGGTCCAGGTTTAGGTCTTCATAATAAGGATCCTACTATTCAAGGTCTCCACACCCGATGGCCCCTATTGTTGTAGAGCTGTGGTTTGGGATCTAGTGAATTGGAAGCGTTTGGGACTCTTAAGGTTTTGGCGTGGTCTGAGACAAGTCCTACCTTGAAGCCCCAGCCCTACTGGAAGTCGATGCAAGCCCCACAGTCACAGGTACGTTGAAGCTCCGTTTCATGTCAGAGGCTTGTCAAGGACCCCTCTAACATATCGATCCCTTACCCAATCCCTAAACCCCTACACCCTTAACCCCAAATCTCTTAACCCTAAACCCAGTAAACCCCGAAATCCTTAAGCCCTAGGCTGCCAATCCCCAAAGCCCTAAACCCCCAAGTTCCCTTACCCTAACCCCCAAATCCCCAAACCCTTGGTCCATGAGCTCATGGCTTCGAAGTACAGCACTTCGAGTCTTGCAGTCGCTACAGTTCGATGTGTGGACAAATTAAACTCGGGTCTTAAGACAGCGGGCTCGGGGGAACATTATTCTATAACTGCTATATTTCAGGTTGGAGGGAGTCTTATACGATAACTATTACGCTAGAACCATATTACGGACTTTAAGGGAGGGACGCTATCAGCAATTCTTCCGAGCCTGAATTAAATTAGTCTGGCATGGCCCTAGCGGTTTAGGAGGTCTAGGGCTTAGGGAATTCCGCCAGAGCATCTGAGCGATGTCCAACCGTCATCATCTGCTTGGGACCGCAGGAAGTTATCCTTGGCATAATTCGCGTCCTCAGTTGGAGATGCACGGGGCTACAGGTGGTCCGGAGAACCCGTACTGCAGCCCGTGAAGTTCAGGCATACTTCTTCACATTCCCACCCTACACCCTCAACCCCAACCAATTTCACGGACTCCAGGACTAGATTTTGAGATGCTAAAGACAGGCTGGAGACTCGCCCAAGCCTACTCGCCAAAACCGTATTCCAAACAGAGGCAACTGCACCGAAACGTCCGCAAGTCCGACACCCGAAATCCCAAACCCTCAGACCCCATAAATCAAGTTTCGATCTGGGGCTTAGGATTTAGACTCGATTTGGTTCTTAGGAATTAGACTCAAGCCTCGCAGTGTGGCTTGGGGTTCAGGATTTAGGGGTTTAGGGTTCAGTCTTTTTTCAAAGCCACTCTTCTCCATCTGCCAGGTTCGTTTGGGGTTTCGGGTTTAGGGCTTGGGGGCATCAAGGTCGCTACGCCAAGGCACGCCAAAGTAGTAGTCGAACTGACCTCAAGTCATGGCATGATGGGGCTTAGGTTTGAAGGGCGGTTTAGGGTTTAAGGTTTAAGATACTATGAAGGTACCATGGGCAATGTCCTCTTTCCAAAACTGTTGGCGGATCTTAGGGCTGTAGGGTTTAGGGTTGAAGCCTCGGGCTGCAACACATACTTGAACGTCCTGTGCCAAGGGCTCAGGGTTGCAGAGACAAGTAAAGGATGCCACCGTACCCGCCTAACTCATTCTAGGATTTGGCGACCTGCTGGGACTTTTCATAATATGGGCTTTCGGCATCTACAGTCACCATATCTCTAAATTCAGAACTACAGTTGTTGTCCCAACAACGATCTCCATACCCCCAACCCTTCCTCAGCAAAGAACTGGTCAAGACAATCCCAACAGAGGACACAAGGCCATGATGTGCTGCCTGTACTTGGAGGTTCACGGGTAGTTGTAAGTGGGGTCGTAAGTCCTCGAATATGGTCATAAGTGTACTTGCCTTACTGATGACCCCATGAACCTCCAAGTAGATTCCGTTTGAGGGTTTGAGGTAACCAAGTATATGTATCACCCATATTGAGGGACTTATATCTATAGCCATGAACCTCCAAGTTAAGTAGGGTTCCTTCTTCATAATTGTAGCCCATATTGAAGGACTTATAGCTACCCATGAACAACACGTACAAGCATGAAGCCAGATGGCAGGTTCAACACGAAACGGTGAGTTCGCGGCTTGAGATTTAGGGGTTGAGGCGCTTGAGGGGGTGGCCTGGGACAACCCCAAATCCTAAACTGAAACTTAAGCCCCTAAATCCCGAAGTTACGTCCCTGTCGCTGCGGATCCTGGGGCGCAGGCTTCGGATGGCATAGCGGAGCTGTTCCAACTGGCAGTTTAGTGCGGGATTTGGCGATGAAGGTTCAGGGTATAGGGTTGAGGGTCGAGGAGTTTGTTGGTGCAAGGAAACCTCTGACCGAATCCGTAGGAGCTGGCTTCATGCTCTTTGAAGTGTCAGGGTCACGGGTTCGAGCGGGAACCAGAAGACACAGCGACACTGATAGCCAACACACGGAGACGCCCGACCTGGACAACTACTTTACTGATAGCATATTTCGCCCTATCGGTTTCACGGTGCCATATGAAAACAACGAAATGACAACTTGATCTAGCGAATGCGGCTAGCATAAACGCCAACGCTAAACCTTAAGTTCTCGAAGCCAAACCCCCAAACCCCGGAACCCTAAAGCCCAAACACAATAACCCAGATCCTGCCTTGTGCTTGTCCATCGGCGCATGCTGGATTCGTGGCTTCTTCGGTGAAGCTTCAATGGTCGGCTGCGTCCTGGGCTTAGAGTGTAGGGCGGATTGAGGTTGAGCATTCAAGGCTTCAGCACTCTCTGTCTAAATTTTTGATGCTAATGATCTTGGTAGTAATATAGTAGTAAAAAAAGAACAATAGCCGATAACCCTATAACAGTAACAAATACCAGCAATCATAATGCTCATAAAAACGGAAACACCTCCCACAACCCTGTGCTTCCGGAGTTCGACGTTATGCCGGCTGCGACTTTTGCTGTCTCTGAAGGGGTGGCGAGTCAGCGAAGAGAGTGCAACAGAACTTGAGGGTTTGGGGCTGCAGATCGTAGCAATGACGACATCTATAACAAGTCATAACCAATGCACTAGCAGTACTGCTGATGATAGTGAGGGAATAGCAGGAGAACAGTCACAGCAACGCTCAGGTATCCTTGCAATCATGGCACCGCAAAGTGTTTGAAGTTACTTGACGGCAATCCCGGAGAGATTTCAGACAGATACAGAGGATCAGGTCTTCTCATTATTAGGGCTTATCGCTATAGGCTGACGATTTAAGGTCGACTCCAATCCCAAAGTACCGTTTCAAAAGTGCTGTGTCTCGACACCCAATCTACGGAGAATTCTGTCTATGAAGGTGCTGAGCACCAGGACCCTAACATATGCTTCGGCGTACTGCGGTTTCTCGAAGCGCCTGGGGCCTGCTTCCAGCTGGGATAAACTCTGGACTCGGACAGTTTAAACTCTCGATTCCGCGAACAGGCAAACAGCAACAGTGCGGAGCTGCGCAGGTGCTCTATCTCGGGACAGTACATGATGTATCGTAGTGGCTTAAGCCCCAACTCAACACACTTACATCCCAAACTGCAACGCCTACCGAAAGCACCAACTAGAGCAAGCTCCTCCTCGTAGCTGGCTTCGCAGCACTGCTCGGCTCCTTCTTTTCCAGTACTTCTTCTGGCACATCGCCCGCCTGAAAGGCGAGAGATGGAGCTGGTTTGATGTGCTGAGGGCCGTGAGGCTCAGGGGTCTCGACCTGTCAGCCTTCGTGGCTTTGGTCTTCAAGAAACTGTGTTCTAGTCCCGGAACCTATGAGTTGGGGAGGTTGTGCTTGCAGTTTGGGAAGTTTGGGGCCAAACCCCCCGCATGCTCGGGCAAGGTCTACCGAAACGGGACTGACAGGATGAAAACTGTGCTACAGGTCCTTGCGGTGTTGCTTTAGCCGGTGTTGTTCACGTGGCCGTTACTGCACTGGGCCTCCTGGTGCCACAACGACGACGACGACCACTGTTACTCCTGCGGCCTCCTGCGCTGGCTGGCGGTGCTGGTGCACGACGACAGCGACTGTCACCGTCGCCAACCACGACCACCACCACCACCACCCCACCGCCACCGCAACCACCACCAACCTTACCCTCAAAAGCCTCACGTGGTCTGAACGTGCAAGTCCGCACACTGCTTCTCATGACCGTCGTCTGTACCATAGCCATAGCCATCTCGACCGTCATTGCCATTCTCATTATCATCCTCATGCCCATCCTCATCGTCATCACAATCATCGTCATCAGCACCATCACCACCACCACCACCATCATCAACCGCTGTTGTCGATGTCGTTGGTTTCGTTGCGGTCGTGGTCGTGTTCGTCGTCGTTGTTTACTGTTGATGTGATGCCGCTGCCGCTGCCTCTGCTGCTGCGGCTGGCGCTGCCGCCGTTGGCATAATTCCGGCTTCGGAAACGGGGCATAGGGTCTGGAGCTGGGGACCCTTTTTGCTGCAGGCTTGCTTGGGGCCCCTAAACCCTGAACGCTAGTCCACCGCCCGACGTCCTCAGCCCACAGCCCAACTCTCAGTGCATAGGAAGATGGAGGACACTAAGGCCCGAAATCGCAACACAAAACACGCAAACTCGTGGTTCCTACAAAACCCAAACTCCAGGCGCTGAACACAAAAAACACAGAAGCCAGAGTCACAAGAGTGGCGATCTTCAGACGTTTTGGTTGCTTTCAAAATTCTCAAAATCCTAAACCATGCAACCCCAACTCTTCAGCTCCGAATCACAGAAACCTTAACGCCAACACCGGCTCTTCACCCGAAATTTCCGGGCCTGAAAGAGGCCGACTTGAAACAGCCAGTCAACGGGAAAGCTCTGGGAGCTCCCCTCCTGGTCGAGGGTAACCTGATCAACTCAGTTTCGGTCGAGGCTTTAAGGGTGTAGGCACCCTTAAACCCTCAACCCCCAAACCATTAAACCTTAAACCCCAAATGCCAAAACCCCTCGACCTTACTGTAATCCCTAAACTCCGAAACCCTAAACCCTGTTCCCCAAACCCTAAGGTGCGCTCTTTTTCAAACTCCGATTGAGGTCTCGAGGCCTGTGACGTCGCGGGGTCGCGGGCTTTCGAGCCGCAGGGTTTTACTTGGAGGTTCATGGCTCCTCAAAGGGCTCCTTTAAGGGCTCTTCAGAGGGATCTGTAAAGGACCTATACGGGTTTTATGTATAATTATTGAAGTTCGTGAGACTTAGCAAGTAAGGTGATTAGTACCTCAACTGGGTTAAAGGTACCTATAGTTACAGTTAGCTCATCGTTAACCTTGCTAACTAAATTCTCATGAACCTCAAAGTAGGGTCAGAATTCAGGGTGTCTCTGTCAGTTGTGAGGAGCTCCGGGTTTAGGGGGGACTCCAGGGTCTAGGGATCACAGGGTCCTTGAATGATTATTGAGGGAGCGCTGTATAGGTGCAAACGGTCTCCGAGCTCCATGGGCGCAAGGCTTTAGATGAACCCTCAAACCTCCTATTATGGCTGGCCCTCGAAATTAGAATACCCTTGTACACCCCGAACTTATGTAATACAGCACCCTGGTACAGAGGGACCCGACAAGGACCCTACTTTAGAGAACTACCCGTATACTTGCATCCGAGTCCAAGGCCAGCCTGCACCGTCACCCCCAAATTTGAACCCCTGACCGTTGACAGCTCAACTCACGAGGTCGACCCTAAATCAATCCTAAAGCCCAAACCCTAAACCCAAACCCTAATGGCCTGGGACACCCCAGCCACCATGCCAGCTCCGACACACTGAGCAGCCTCCAAGTTTTGGCGGAGGACTTCCGGTTTCGGGCTCAACTTTGTGGCTTCGGAACCCTACCTAAAACCCCCCCAAAGTAGGTAAAATAATGGCCCAATACCCACAGAAGGCCATGATTCTACATACTTTTGGGGTCCAGGTAGACCCTAAACTGGGGTTTGGGGTTGCGAGCTTTGGTTTGGGAGTTCAAGGAACAACTGGAAGTTTAGGGTCGAGAGCTCGCAGAGGAAATGATGGAAACCGTGGCTGACGAGGTTGGCCGCATGCACGCGTGTTTCGATGCTCCGACGTGGCATCGACCGATAGACTCGCAAATCTAAGCACTAGAAAGAAAATCCAACCTCATTCGACTTAGACACCGGCGCAAAAGTTTAAGCCTTCTCCTCAACTTAAGTTCGATACACCCTAGACTGCCTCGACCATGAAGCTTGAACCACACACCCTCAACTCAGAAACCCTAAACCCTAAACCCTAAACCCTAATCCCTAATCCCTAAACCCTAACCCTAAACCCTAAACCCTAAACCCTTATTAAGCCATCGGCACACCTGAAAGTCCGTCAGTCCCGCGGGTGTCCTCAAACGGAACCGGACCACCTTGAGGACAGCAGAAAGCTCCGGCGTGGGCTTCGACATTTAGGACTTTCGGGTTTAGGGTTTAGGGTTTGGGGTTTAGGGTTCAGGGTTTAGGGGCTTCGACATTTAGGACTTTCGGGTTTAGGTTTGTGGCTTAGGCAATTGGCATAGTATAGAATAAAGTACAGCACTTGGCATAGATCGTAGCATACTCTGGCATGACGCAACAAAGTCTGTCGTCATACTAGCACAGTACGACAAAACACACCAACCACAGGAAATTCTAGCTGGCCGTCCCATCGCCACGCCCCTCTTTGAAATCCCAAGCACTAACCTTAAACTCCGTCACCTAGCTATAGTAAAGCCCATAAAGCTGGAATTCGGATTGAGGACAAATAGTGCTGGGATTCCCTATAAATTACTCTTAAGGATGGAGGCTAATGGGTTTCCAACTGTTGGGCTTCTACTTTAGTTGTGCAGTTTCGGGGTTTGGAGTCCTGAAGCGGTAGGCTTGGACAGCGCTTAATGCACGGCCTTAATGATTAGCCTAGGGTTTGAGGGTATATTGTACTATAGTTATATTAAGGAACCCCCAAAGTAGTATAAGTAATTATTACGACCTCTATGACTCTATAGTACACCTCACAATCCTAGAACGAGGCTTCTGGCGAACCGTGCATCCAAAGCCTCATCAGTCAGCATGCCCTATAATACAGGGGCCTTCATAAATGGAATAGCGATTAGGGTCCCATTATACCCTAATTATAATAACAGAATCCACAAAACTGTGTTCGTGATTATTTAGGCCCTCTGTTGTACTGTATCTATCCATGGGCCAGAGAACATGCAGCCCTGTTAGCCCTAGAACCGTCAACTGGCCTCAACTTTCTCATGACCCATCAAATCACATAATCTATACCACATCACCAGCAACAAACTCGAGAAACGGTCAACCAAACAAAGCCACCTACCTTGCAAACCTCAGAACTCTCAACGCTTCTTTTGCAGAAGCTGCAAAGTCTAAGCCCTAAACCTAGACCCGAAACCATAACCCTAAACCCAATAATCGCTAGGCCTCAAATCCTAAATCCAAAACCCAAATCATAACCCTAACCCCCAAGCCCTAAATCCTAACAGAGAAGGTCCCCTGCCTCTCCTGGCAAAGGCGCACGCGACAGGGGCCTGTCGCACCCGCAAATCTTGGGCACCATTTCGAATTTAGTTAAGCCCTTAATAACTGGGGCTTGGGGTTTAGGGTTTTGAAGTTTGGGCCCGTCATAACTAGAATAGGGTTTGGGGTATATCATACGAGTACTATAATTCTGATACGGATTCCTAAGGAAACCTCTCGGTAATTATTTAGGCCTTTATGCAACAACGACAGCTCCTCCACTTCAGTCACAGAAACCATATGAATCCGTCTGAACCTGCTTAGAAGCCCTCAACCCTCAACCCTAAACCCTAAACTCTAAACCCCAAAGCCTAAGAACCCTAAACCCTAAGAACCCTAAACCATGTCACACAGGATCGGCGCCGGGCTTCCGAAGGCTCGAACCAGGAGGCTTCAGCTAAGGGGTTAGGATTTAGGGCTTATAAGGTTTAGGATTTATTGGGTTGAGGGTTTCGGTTCTATAAGATTTGTAGGGTTGATAGGGTTCAGGGTTTATAGGGTTGAGGATTGAGATTCAGGGCATGGCTATTTGTATACCTGGACCCACAAGTAAGTGGAAGAATGGCCTTTTATGGGTGTCGGACCGGTATTTTACATACGTTTGGGGTTGAGGTAGGGCTTGCATAGGGGTTTCAACCTATCGGGCTGTTTTTTGCAGCAGACTCCTCTACTGTAGAGAGCCACTTTCAATGGACGTCTCGTTGAGAACACCCCGCAAAGGACCTGCAATACTTGGAGGGTCGGAAGACTTAGTAAGTAGGTAGTAAGTAGACTTACAAGTAATCTAAATGGGACCCTAATTGGCATTATGATACTTATAAGTCCCTAAAATACCAGTTACTAAGTCCCCCGACCCTCCAAGTACTCTAAACCCTAAACCCTATACCCTTATATATAGATCCCTTGAAAGGAACCCTCAAGGAACCCCTTATAGTTACTAAGTCCCCCGACCCTCCAAGTACTCTAAACCCTAAACCCTAAACCCTATACCCTTATAGAATCCCTATGGATCCCTTTAAAGGAACCCTCAAGGAACCCCTTATAGTTACTAAGTCCCCCGACCCTCCAAGTACTCTAAACCCTAAACCGTCTACCCTTATAGAATCCCTATAACTATAGATCCCTTTCAGGAACCCTAAAGAAACCCTTATAGTTACTAAGTCCCACGACCCTCCAAGTACTCTAAACCCTAAACCCTATACCCTTATAGAATCCCTATAGATCCCTTTACGGAACCCTGAAGAAATCCCTTATAGTCTAAGTCCCACGACCCTCCAAGTACTCTAAACCCTAAACCCTATACCCTTATAGAATCCCTATAGATCCCTTTAAGGAACCCTAAAGAAACCCCTTATAGTTACTAAGTCCCACGACCCTCCAAGTACTCTAAACCCCAAACCCTATACCCTTATAGAATCCCTATAGATCCCTGTTAGGGAACCCTAAAGAAACCCCTTGTAGTTACTAAGTCCCACGACCCTCCAAGTACTCTAAACCCTAAACCCTATACCCTTATAGAATCCCTCTAGATCTCTTTAAGTAACCCTAAAGAAACCCCTTGTAGTTACTAAGTCCCACGACCCTCCAAGTACTCTAAACCCCAAACCCTATACCCTTATAGAACCCCTATAGATCCCTTTAAAGGAACCCTAAAGAAACCCCTTATAGTTACTAAGTCCCCCGACCCTCCAAGTACTCTAAACCCTAAACCCTATACCCTTATAGAATCCCTAGGGATCCCTTTAAAGGAACCCTCAAGGAACCCCTTATAGTTACTAAGTCCCCAAGTACATAAACCTGAAGACTGATACCTTTGGTTTCGGGCTTACCCTCACCCAAAGGCCCCAAAGTAGTTCCTTCTTTGGGGTCCATATATAGTGTCCTATAAGGTAATCCCAAAAAGGTACTACTCTGGGGCCTTTGGGTAGTTAGCTCTACGACATAGTATGTTATTCTAGGGTGTGACACGTAAAGCTGTAGGTTTTTGGGATCGGCAGCCACGGGTTATTGAGGAAATAAGTCTGCGGCATCTCCCGTGCTCCACAAACTTTCAGGAATCAAATCAAAGCACCAACACCCGGATGCTTCCTTGACTTGCGGGATGCTGCCGACTTATTTTTTCCATTGTAAACCAAGAATAGGGGTTTGGGGGGCCATTGCACTACAATTACACTAAGGAACCCCAGAATAGTATAGGTCATAAGGAACCCCAGAATAGTACAGGTCATTATTGAGGCCCCTATATTACTTACCACCTTCCATCTTAAACCCAGGTTTTCCAGCATCACATCCGTTGGAGGCGCCGTACCCTAATATAGTACCCTAAGTAGTAGCATCCTAATTATAAGGACCTCAAAATAAGGAACCTTTTTGGGCTCCTTATTCTGATTTCCTTTTAAACACGAAGCTGCAGGCGCACTTCCAGAGTTCCGCCGCCGATGCGTCCGGTAGCGTCTCCGACAGGGTCTTCGCTGGAACCTTGTCGGGGCTTGGGGCTTGGGGGGCTTGGGGGGCTGAGGCCTTCAGGTCTTCGATTCCGAGGTTTTCGGTGATTTTATGCTGGATGATGGATCAGGCGGAGGGTGTGGAAGCTTCAGGGTTGGAGCTATGCGCGTGCCAAGTTCTGACAGAACCTGATGTCCGTGTTTACAACCGTGCGTGTGGCAACTTCTTGTGGGCTGAGTTGCAGGAGATGTTCTGCCGTACCTACGATTCTGAGCGTCTTGGGTCGGGATCGGGTATCAGCATTCACAACGGGAGCGGCAGAAGACATGCAGCACGATGTGTATCAAGGGGTATCTTCGTCAACTTCATCATGTCCTCCTGCAGATCTTATGGAGCCTAAACCCTAAACCCCTAAACCCTAAACCCTTAACCCTAAACCCCTAAACCCTAAACCCTAAACCGTGGGATTTTGCTATGGGACTCCGTGTGGTGTCACACTGCAGTCACCCTCGGCATTTACAGGCAGAGACACACTCGAAACCTGTAGGGTTTAGGGTTTAGGGTTTAGGGTTGCAAGACTTCAAACAACTTAGACTCGAATCCCAGCGGGAGGACGAAGCCCTGTCAGAAGCAGCCGCCGGAAAGATGGCATGAGATTGCAGAGCCCTAAATGTCCACTTGAATCCCTTCAGTCGGCCCGGTGAAATGTGTTGGAACAAAACTATGGATAGGAGCTGAACAGTCTTGAAATATCCACTGCCAGGTCCAGCAGGTTGCGTGCGGTACTGCGCAGTATGGAATCCCAAACTAGTATAAGTTGTGAGAAGCAGATTACATTATGAAAGCTTCGACGTCCTGAGCCGTTAAGAGTCTTAGATCTCAAGGCCGCGGAAACTTTCAACCCCCCCGGCACAACCGAAGCAAACCCAAACCCTGAAAGCCGCGAAGGCCCAGCAGGCACAGACCTTTACTCAAAGCCCCCAGAGACTTGAACGACAATGGCTCAGCAACGAAACGCTATTGTTCTACCAACTTCCGGAGCCCAGGTAATATTGTGTAGGATCCTGAGAATATAAACCCTTTACCAAGAGGAACACCCAAGTTCAAGACGCCCCACCTCCCCACCCCTGTTTTTAGGGTTTAGGATTTAGGGCCAATTCAGGGTTTATAAAGTTGAGGCTTTAGCATTTGGGGTTTTGGGACCAGAGTTTAGGGACCCTCGCTTCCACCCTGGCGTGCGTGACCTCAGCTCCCGCGGTGACATGGATGGGAGCCGATGCAGCTGTGGCTCCTCCACAGGGTTTAGGGTTTAGGGTTACTGCGAGAGTCTAGCTCAACAGCTTAAGGATTACTAAGGTGGGTGGGTTGGGAGTTTAGCATTCGTAAGCAAGGGGCAGCAGAAAGTTGGACCACTCGGATCTGCTTGAGGTCCAAGGTGTTTCTAGACCAAAACTGAACTGTGAACAACAGAGCCCCCCCCGAACACTAAACTCGAACGGCCAACCTATTGTAAGCCTTGAAAGCCCAAAGGTCAACCTAGACCTTTAGTTAAAGTACTTATTTTGCTTACCTCAGTTTTCTTGTAGGGTCTTAACCAGAAAACACATCATTCATCAATAATTCTAGGGTCCAGAAACAGCCCGAACACCTGAACGCTGCGGGCTGCGGCAGGTGGATGAGAAGCTTCAGGCACAACATGGGCAACAGGCTGCAAGGATGACACGATGAAGTAGGAAGCCCCAGTCATAGACATAGAATGTAGATGTGTATAGCCAGATGCCATCTACACGAACAAACGCCAGAGAGGTGGCACTTAGGGTGGGGTGGGGGTTTCCAATTTCCTCAACTATTGGACCTGTTGCCAAGCCTTCTCCTGCAGCTTCCTCTTCTGCGTCATCTTCTTCCGCTTCTCCTGGAGTTTGAACCCTGAACATAGAGATGCACGGCATTCGGGGCTAAGGGTTTAGGAACTATTGGACCTGTTGCCAAGCCTTCTCCTGCAGCTTCCTCTTCTGCGTCATCTTCTTCCGCTTCTCCTGGAGTTTGAACCCTGAACATAGAGATGCACGGCATTCGGGGCTAAGGGTTTAGGTTGAAGGCCGTTTAGAGGTTCACGGTCGGGGGTGTAAGAAAACGAGACGGATGTCTGGCAAGTATGGTCCTGATCGTAGACATCAGACGTGCTGCGTGTGCATATAGGAACAAGAAACCGGTAACCGCAAAAGCCTGCACCCTTAACGTCCGTCCTCCTTCTGATTCTTCCTCTTCTTTTTTTCCTTCCTCCTTTGCATTCTCTACAGCGGCCGGTTCCTTGGCCTGCACAGCACAAGGCTAAGGGTGGCATGAAGAACAGTGCTACACTTGCGGCTCGAGGGCTTACTTGGAGGGTCGGGGGACTTAGTAACTGGTTATTTTAGGGACTTATAGGTACCATAACCCCAATAAGGGTCTCTTTTCAGGGTACTTATAAGCCTACTTACTACCTACTTACTAAGTCCACCGACCCTTCAAGTAAACCTGCGGCTTGAGGGCTTAGTGCCTTACGGATCTTCCCAGAGACTCCAATATCCCTTAATTAAGGAATATACCTTAAATTATAATAAGATCCCTAACATGATTTAAGGAAGATTCCTTAATGAAGGGGCTATTGAAGTCTCTGGGTTCCATGGTTTCAGGGAACCCTCCCCAACCCCAATAAGATGAGCAATATCAGTCCTGCTATGCAAATTTAATGCTACTCGTAATCATACTGTTGCTAGTGTTCATAAGTATATATGGCAGTTTCCGAAAATAGGGGACCCTAATATAGTGCCCTAAGTAGTAGGATCCTTATTATAAGGACTCCAAAAAATGAGGTTCCCCTAATCCTAATTTTCGGAAACTCCCATATATGATCTTATTAAGCCCCAGCTCTGCCTTATTATTACAATTATAGTATATATAATGGGCCCCGACACCCTGTTCTATTTATCAAAGCCACAAGACGGCCTGATCTTGCAATAGGAAAGATCCGAAACGACTTCGAGTCGTCCGGGGTAAGAAATTTTTGAGGTTTACGGTCGAGGGCTTTTAGGGTTTAATATAGGAACCTGATTAAGAAACCTTGGGCTTTTATAAGGGCTCCTTATATGAACTCTACTACTTTGGTGTTATATGCCAACGGTTTCTTAATCAGGTTCCTACACTATGCAAGACGTCACTCGGACACTCTGAACGATCACTGGGGCGGAGGAAATAGCACGGCGTAGCTTTTTAGGGTTTTAGGTTTAGGGCGTCAAGGGTTCGGAGTTCTCAAAGAAGGACTTCCACTGCGTTTTCCAAAAGAGGATTTGCACTGCAGTACTGGGTGGAGTGCGTAATAAGTCACATAGTTTCGGAGGAAGTATCTTGCTGCAAGTCGTATACTGTCAGGGGCAGTCAGTGGTGTGGTTTGCGCATGACCGCAAGGGTTTGGGTTGAGGCTTCTTAAACCCTATGGTAAACCCCATAAAGTTGGAAACCGGATCAAGGCCAAATAGTGCTGGGATTCCCTATACATTACTCTTAAGGATTGAGGCTATTGGGTTTCCAACTTTTCGGCTCCTACTGTAAACTCCTAAGCTCAAGAGTTCGGGTTGAGGTTTCAGGGTACAGGTTGCTTTTGAGCTCCTTTCTTTGGGTCCCAGAAGGGGTTCATTGCAAACGGCTGACAGTTTTGGCTTGCCGATACTATGGGGGGCTTAACAATTAGAATGAATGGGGTTTTGGGGTAGACTATACGAGAGCTATAGAGGGAGAACATAACTCATGAGTCCGACCCCTTATAATACAGTTTCTGGGGTTCAAAGTCTCCAAGCCAATTTCAAAATACTGATTCCCTCCCCAGCACCCTAAAGCCAAAATGTCAATTCCCTGAACCCCTAAACCAACAGTCCTGATTCCCTAAACCCTGAACCCAAAATCGTAACGCCCTAAAGCCCCAGCACCCTAGAGCCACAAACCTCGTGTCTGGCAAGACCTAAACCCCAAAATCCTAATTCCCAAAAGCCCTAGACCCTAAACCCCTAAGCCTCAACCCTAAACCCTAATTCGCCTCTGATAAGGCCTCAGCCCCAAAATCCAAATTCCCGAAGCCCTACGCCCCGAAACCCCTAAACCCTAATAGCCCTAAGAGTACCCTGATAGAGCCCTTTAAAGGAACCCTTAAAATTCACTTCAAAGGAACCCTAAAATCCCCACAGATCCTACTTCGCCTCAGGTAAACTTTCCCTGAACCCTACACCCCAAACCCCGAACTCAAAACCCCAAACTCCTTTTCGTTCGCCTCTGGTAAGCCCTCCTGAAACCCCAAACTTTCCCTATCCCCTTTAAAGGAAGGCTAAAACCCCGATAGATCCTACTTCGCCTCGTAAGGCCTCCTTGCCTAAGCTTTCCCTAAACCCTAAACCCCCAAGCCCGAACTCAAAACCCTAATAGTTCCCTTATAGAGCCCCTTTAAGGAACCCTTATAATCCCCTTTAAAGCAACCCCAAACTCCTTTCAATTCGCCTCTGGTAAGGCCAGAAGTGCTGGGCCGTTTGTCAGTGCCCGGCGCTTGCAAGGGGCTCGCCTCCTCGAGGGTTCATTCCTTTAAGAATTCCTTTAAGGGTTCCTTTAAGGGTTCCCAGAGAGCCCGAAACCGGTTTAGGGTTTTAGGGGTGTTTAGGGGTTTAGGGGAAGGGGTTTAATTAGGGGTTTTGGGGTTTAGGACTTTAGGGGTTGAGGGTTAAGGCCCTTTCAACAACGAATACAAACCTATGTCCTTGCTTCAAGCCCTTCTAGTCTAAGGAAGACTCCGTCATCAAGCGGTACTGGTTGGGTACTGCTCCCCCATGCAGTGACAGTCTATAATAGGGCTACTATGAAGGTCCTGATATATCTGTATTATGAAGATTATCCAACTGTTACTGAGTGGGGGCAGTACCCAAGGTAGGGTCGACGAACTGAGGGCTTAGGGTGTTCTTAAGGGCGACGAACTTGGGCTTCAGGGTTTCGGAATGGGAAAGCTCTAGCCCCTAAGCCTGAGACGTGGGCCCCAGATCTCTGGGCTCTCTGGGCTTGGAGGCGTGTGTCTGTGTCTGAAAGAAAGTCAGCGTCTGGTTTTGAGAGCTTACGCATCTTCAGGGTTTAGGGTTTAGGGGTCTAGGGGTTTAGGGTTTAGGGTTTAGGGGTTTAGGGGTTTAGGGTTTAGGGTTTAGGGGTTTAGGGGTTTAGGGGTTTAGGGTTTAGGGTTTAGGGGTTTAGGGGTTTAGGGGTTTAGGGTTTAGGGTTTAGGGGTTTAGGGGTTTATACTTTTTTCCCAAGGAAAACAGAAGGCTTCAGACACTCTGGGCTTTAGGGCTTGAGCTCTAGGGCTTCAGTATTGGACCCTGAATCTAGGGGCATACTGTTGTAATTGGGTGTAAGCTTTTGGAGTTTAGGACGCTTTGATTGAGGGCTCTTGCGGATCTCTGATCTCTGGATTGATCTTCCTCTTGTTACAGCGGTAATTCGAGATATTCATGCTGCTCTTGTCTTGTAACGTTGTACTGGCGCCCTTCGTAGAGTTCAGGCATCTGGGCTTCCTTGGAAGTAGACTCCAGACACGCCTGAAAGGATCCAGATCATAGAAGCCCCTTAATTACCATTATATATGCGCGAAGATCGGCTTGTCGTTTTACGGGTTCAACCTCTTCCCTGAACCCGAGTCCTAAATCCTAAACCCTGAACCCTAAGCCTACCTCCCGGCCTCTGCGTCTGCGCAGGCCGGACCCAAACTAAGTCACCATCGCGGAGGACATCCTGTACTCCGGAACTTGAGGGTTGTAGGGTCTGTAGTGGGGTATTATATGTTGGTTGGGTTTTAGGGTTTCGTGTTTAGGGCTGGGGTCGTATCTGGTAGTTTAGCCTGCTGGTTAGAGCTGAGATGAGGTTCGAGGCTTTAGGCTTTTAGGGTAGAAGCCAAAAGGTTGGAACACCATTCTCCTCCTGACCTTAAGCTAAGGTCCCAAATCCGTGTTCCAACTTTCGGGCTTCACTTTGGAGGGGAGAGCAGCCGGTAACGCGTATCTTTTGCCAAGGGTACACCACAAAAAACTGAAAAACAGGCAGTGAACACGACCACTGTATGGGGCAAGGGGCGCAAGTATATTCTTTATCTTCAGTCCCTCACAGCCCTCCTACAGCCCTTTTAAATCCCAAAGCGCTAGAGATCTAGTAGCACCCAAGCTGATTTTCTTTGTCCTGGGTGGACAGTGGGGGCAAGTGGCCCAGGGCTTTTGGAACCTCAGGGCTCTAGGCTTTGGGATCATCTCCAGACCGCAAGTCCATCGTAAACCCTCAACCCACCGCACGCAATCATCGACGAACCCTAAACCCTAAACTAAAATAACTCGAAACCCTAAACTCTTTAATCCAAACCCCTAGACTCTACAAATGCCCTCTTCGAGCCATGCCTCAAGGCATTGGGCTGGAAGGAGACCAAAACCTCGCCATCATGGCGAGAGCAATTCGAGCTTGGGGTGGGCAAGGTATACGGTAGAAGCCGAAAAGTTGGAAACCCCATGGCCTCACTCCTATAGGGAATCCCAGCACTATTTGGCCTTAACCCGGTTTCCAACTTTATGGGGTTTGACTGTAGGGTGGGCAGGCGCAATTACTGTACATTGCACTGGATGTGTGGACTGTTTAAGCCAGCTGAGGTGAGGGGATAGCTAGGACTGCAAGGATTTCAGTAGCTTCGGTGTTGGAACCAGATGCTTGGGTCGGGTCGACAGTGCTGCTTCGGGCTTCCCTGGGGATTCGATTTTGAATAGATTTGATATGGGGCGTCGGCAAGACTTGCTTTGGGTTTCTGAGGCTTGGAGTTAGGCAATAATCATGGTTACTAGGTTGGCCCTTCAAAGCCTCTGAAAAATCTTCGTACATAGGGTCCTATTATGCCCAATAAGGGAAAATATAAAATGTCCCAAAGGCCTCTAAACCCTAAACCCTAAACCCCTAGGTTATCTTGAATCAGGGCTGGATGTCATGCTGTGTCGAGCTTCACACGAACTCAAAGCCCGGCGCTCTGGCTCCTACTAAAGTTCCCCTCTAAGAACTCAGAACTGATCTTTTATAGGGTTCAGGATGTCTGGCGTAAAGGGTTTAGGGTTTAGGGTTTAGGGGTTTAGGGGTTTAGGGTTTAGGGTTTAGGGACAATTAGCACTGAAGAGTCAGCGAGGACCCTAACTGTCAGCTGCAGGTCCACTTCAGACACTGAACAATGCCCTAAAACCCTAAATCCTCAACCCTAAACCCCTAAATTCTAAAGCCCTGACACCCTAAACCCTCACACAGTGAACAGTGCAGGGCAAAGCTTTGTTGATGGTTTGATTGCAATATACAGTAGGGGCCTTACAAAGTGGGATAGGGTGCTTGGGCCCATTATACTATAGTTATAATAGGAACCCCCCAAAATGGTATTGGTAATTATATTGTAGGGCCTTGCATTTCGATCCAAGCGCTGAGAATTCAATGCTTGGGTTGCAGAGTCCAGGGATCTAGTCCAGCTTTATAAAGGTCAGTTACTTATGCCCGGGCCAGTGAGTGGTGGTACACTGACTGCATGTTCCAGAGTCTTGACATGGAGGATCTGAAGAGGGTTTTGCACAAATGGATCACGTTTGCAGCGGACAAGCGGCTCCATGTAGCCTTTGGGCTCTAGATCAGAGATGGGACGAGTTTGCAGACAGTCTTGGTTCAGAAAGCCAGACGAAGCTGGGCGGAATTTGACACATGATGCTTGGGACTGCTTCTCTATTCTGCAGTTTTTTGTCTTCATGCGCAGGGCCCGCTGCGTGCCTTCAATGGACATCGCCAAAGGCTGCGTTGGCTGCAGCCTGAAGTAGCCTGAGAGGAATCTCTTGTTGACTATCAGGCCTCTGCAGCGACCCCTCAATCTCTCGCGAAACCGAACGGGATCCGTCAGTGCATGCTGTGCGGAGTGATTCCCCCCAACTACCCCTCTAATATGCCCCAAATACCCACCATTAAGGACCATAAGGGCTCCAGTAAAGGGTCATTGGGGCGGGTGGAGTATGCTGCAGAATAGCTCTGCAAAGGGACAGGTGTGGTGAACTTTTCGGCTCAAGCTCCACCTTGCCTTGGATTGTGGGGCTGTGAGTCTGAACAGATCTCGAAGGCAACACCTGCTTGCAAACTTGAGGGTCAGGCGTTAACAGCTAAGGCCAAGACTAAGAGAGATTGCAGGGTGCTGGGTTTGGGTTGCAATCTTCGGGCAAAAAATCATTCACACCCCTCTCACAAGAGAAGACGTGACAGGACGACTAAACCTTAGGTCCAAGGTTAATGTGTATAAACTGAGCCCCCTGGGTCTTCAATGCAAGTCCTGAGACCCGGCGACTCCAATACCCCTTTGTCAAGGAATATACCTTAAATTACAATGAGCCTGAATGACCCAGGAACTCCAATATCCTTTATATAATTAAGGAATGTACCTTAAATTACAATAGGATCCCTAACATGATTTAAGGAAGATTCCTTACTTAAGGGGCTTTGGAATCCGCTAAACTCTATAGATCCCTTTGAGGAGCCCTTTAAGGCACCCTAAGGAATATTCCTCAATTAAGGGATATTGGAGTCTCTGGGGACCACAGTTCAGCTAAGTCGCCGTAGATGTAATGCAGGAAGTCGGACACCAGACTCAATCCTGGCATGAAGCAAATATTCTCGGCAATCGAAGCATCGAGCTATGTCCTTACTGGCTGGAGTTGAGCAATAGGTATTTTGGTGTGTATAGCCAGACACGCAGCACCACTTGTCTGCATTTCCTGGAAGTGTTGCCATCCCAAACCAAAACCTCGGTTAGGGTTTAGAGTCAGGGTTTAGGTTTGGCGGCTTAGGAGGCTCGGCGAAACTTTCGCTCTGCGACCTAGCGAACAAAGTTTGCCCAGAGCCAGAAGTGCCTCTGCGCCCACTTGCCTCCCTAGACCCTACGTGAAACACAAGCGTTACACAACTGTGACATCAACGCTAACTCTACGAACCCGAATCAAACCCTGAACCCTCCACCCAGAGAGCGGACGGGATTCCGGGTTTAGGGTGGGAACCTCGAGTGCAGGGACCCCAAGTGACCCCAACATGCCTGAGAATAAAGATGCCGTAGTAGGCATCGCTACTACAGCTTCGTGAAAGTGTAGTAACAAATGGACTTCGGGCCCAGCTTCAAACTCCTTCCGGGCTTGGGTAATAATAAAGGTACCCTTATTCCGACTAATTGGTTCGAATCAGGCAACTCAAAAAGAAACGGGGCAAAGGGGTACTACGGGGGAACGTAGAGGAGAGAAGCGGAAGCTTGTGAAATGCCCGGCCTTCTGGCACCACCATCACAACTTTCCTGGACATAGGCAGTTCTCTAAAGTGGGGCCAAGGTCCCTTTTTAGGTCCCAAATATGGCACCTGCAACAAAAGGACCCGAAAAGGGACCCTAATTTGGAGAACTGCCCACATGCACAGGGTGGTTCGTGGTTTTGGTGTTTCAGGCCTTGCGACCTTCCATCAGCAGTAGGGTTTAAGAGATGTGGACTTGGGTTTCAGGGTTTGGGCAACCAGCAACAAAAGGTCCGTCGGACATCTTCAGCGCCAACAGGATCCACCATCTTGCGGTGTCTTCCGTTTACGGGTTGACAAGAATATGGGCATCTTGCGGTGTCTTCCTTTTACGGATTGACGCGAATATGGAGATTGAGGAATGCTAAAATGTTCATGCTGTAACTGTATTCAAGCTTCCGAAATGGTGCAAGGCCCGACCTTGAAATCCACAGACGGTGTCCTTTGCTTCAAATCGATCATCAACCGGCATGCAGAACGAAACGCCACTTCCCATCTTCCCGAGTCTTCTGAAGGTTCGCCTGCAGCATTTTATGGTGGAGTACAAAGCAGATACTAGCCCAAATCCCAAAGTCGAATAATCAACGTTCGCCACAACTGAAACACTCAGCCCTGAAACCTCTTCCATAATGCCATAAAGCCGCTAACCCATCCTAAGCTCTTGACTTTAAACCCCTAGACTTAGACTGCTGGAGTACACCCTAATACCCAAAGCACAGCAGACCCGATTCTTGCTGCTTGGGTCAAAGCACCCTTCAGTCGGCTTGAGGGCTTTGGGCCTTGGGTTTGGGAGTCTTTTTATGGAAGGTTTGCGATTCTACGTACTCCAAAACCCCGGAAATTGGGATCCACGGCTTTGGGCTTGGTACCTGCAGAGGAGCTCGCCATCACACTCGGCCGCCAGTTGCAGTCGCACGCGAAGGCTCCTGGTGATTGTTTTCGCGGTGCAGGGAATTGCAGCGGTGTAGGGCTCACAGATTAAGCGGTTTTAAGCTGCTTGTTGATGTGACGGGGCGAAACGGACAAAGAGTCCAAGGTTGCTAGAGGAGCTATCGGCATTGCAGTTGCGGATGATGCTCTTGTCTCGGCCATGAGGGGCATTCCTAGAAGAACAGACACCTGGGATTAACCCACCCCTGAACCAACTCCAGACACCAATGAAGGTAAGCTTTCAAACGATAGCAAACAAAGAAGAAAACTCAAATCGTCCGGCTGCTTCACGCCACGCGCCACACCTTGCCAAACCGTGGCAACATGCAACTTACATGGAATCGACGAATGTATCATGCCCTGTGCAAAGCGCACGGCACGGGCAAACTGCGGGGAGTTTCCCTACGACCCTCGACTATTGCAGAGACTTTGCACAGGCAGATGTTATTACTAATGACTCGGACCCCCCTTCCAGGATTTCATGGTAGATATGTAACTGATTCATGTGGCTCCAAGCACAATCAGTGCTGGTGATTCTGTACTCATTCTGCTTCTTGAAAGCTGCAACAAAAAAATTCTGGAGATTTCCACGCGCGTATAAGTAATCAGCGCAGGGCTTCAGGGCTGTGTCATCAAGGCATCGGCCTAGGCTTGTCATTGTCATCCTTGCTTTCGTACATCTCTTGCTTTAGGTCTTGCAGTACCCTGCTTCGGGCTTAGGGTTTAGGGTGTTGGTGCCTTCAGTCTTCAGGTTAAGCCTTTGAGGCCCTCAGCCGCAGATACGTCGGGGGCTTGGAGCACTGTCCTCGCGCTCGTGCCGGTGCGCTTTGCCAGCGCCATCGGCAGGGATCCGCTTCCAAAGGCCGATGCTGACACGTTCTCAAACCGAATGCGAGGTCACCCTTCTCCGGGAAGCATAACCTAAAAGCCGATAAGGCTTGCGGTGTGGAGTCTGGGCCTCTAGAGGGACATGTGGATCAAAATCCGACCCAAAGCCTAGTTCACATGCTTCTGTTTCAACAAGTGTTGCCAATAATCGAAAGGGGTCACATTGGATGGCTAATGACCCACTGACTAAAAATCGAACAACACCACAAGGCAGCAACAATGGGAACGAAAGGAGGGAGGGCAAATACGCTGTCTGGGCTTCTGGACTGCGCTAATAGCTAGAAGACCAAGGGGAACATGAACAGCGGTATTGCAAGGCCTGCTTGCAGCCCTAAACCCTAAACCCGAACCCAGCCCGAATTAGACACGCCTTACCATCGAATTCAGATCTAAGCTGCGGCGACGTCTCGTGAGACATGCCGAGGCACGGCTGTTCTTCGAAGAACTTGAACCGGAAAGACGGAATTTCAAAGATATACTATAATGTCGTAAATATGTACTCCGATATGTCATAGAACAGTGTCATATATTATAATGTATTCTCACTCTAATCTGCTACAGTGTAATGTGCTGAAACGATTCCTCTCGATCCTACATTGCATCCTTTTGTTCGTCGCCATGCCAATTTCCCGTTCTTGTTTGCTGAGGGTCTGAGAAAAGCCATATTAGGGCTTGGGGTTGGGTGTTTGAGGTTGAAGGTTTAGGAGCTGCCAGTTTCTTTTTAATGCCGTCGTTGCTAGTATCATTGCTGTCACTAATTTATTCATTCCTATGCCACTGCCGGGGTCATTTCATTGTATGTAGTAACGCAGTTAATATAAATGCTTACAAGCCTGATGATGATGGTGGTGATGATGATGAGGACCGGGATCGCTACGTGCACCACTGTCGTTATAGTTTGGGCTTCAAGCGGCAGTCAAAGTCTCAACTGCGCCGTTGGGTCAGTGCAGCTTGCATGCTGTTCTTCGGTCCGAGCGTTCTTCAAAAGTTCTTTTTGGGGTGATGTCAGCGCCTCAAAAAGTCTACGCCATGGCAGAGTCTATTCGTTCTTCAGATTTGTCACAGATCCGACGATGACCATGCGCAAGCTTCCTTAGGGTCCTTATGATTGTAGACCTTAAGCCCTAAACCCCTAAACGCTAAACCTGCGCTAAAGCCTTTTTCCGTGGGCATCAGCGGGGGAGCGACGGCAGCTCAGCAGCGAGAACACATCAGCACTATCCTAAACAACCTTAAACCCGATTTTACAGCCTGAACCCTAAACCCTAAATAGCCTGAACCAGGCTCTAAGCCGAATTGGGCAATTCTGAGCTCAGCTCGCGCTGGCGCCTGGCACCTCCGCCGACACTCTACTTAAAAGGGTCATAGGCCTCAGTAACTAAGGGTTCGAGCTTGGTAATTACACGTAAGCTCCTTGTGATGAATCGTTCTTATTGCGGCAAGTGCCGATGCTGCAAGGTTCCGATGATGATCACGACAGTTGATGTCATGTCGAAGAAGATGGTTATGTCGATGACTGATGGGACCACACCCCTGTGGCCCGGAGCTTTCAGAAAAAAAGCACTGAACCCTGAACCTAACATAGGGGCCAACAAAAATTAGAATAGGGTTTTGGATAGGCCCTTTATAAGAGCCCTTTAAAGGAACCCTAAACCCGAATTCTGTAGGCCATTACATTACGACGCTCCCAGCTCTTGCACCAGGGATCGGGCCGACGGCTCGTGCAAGAGTCATGAGGAAAACACGGTCCTGGGCCGCGGCATGTCCCTCAAACTCAATTGCAAATTAATGACTAGATGATACAAGACAGTACCCTAAACCAAAAACCCTAAACCCTGAACCCAAAACCCTATCCCTAAACCCCTAACATACTATCTTTGTATTGTGGCCCTGGCCCACTATGCAGGTAACATCTAGCTTTCGAGGCAGTGGCCTGGCTTCAAGGGTGACTGGCAGTCTTTCGGCAAGTGAAAGAGTGGCTGATGGTCCCAAGCCTACGCGCAGATGCAACACTACCTAAGCCCCGACCCTCATGGTCTCTACATACTTCTTCTATCGATTTAAGCTTTTTTTTGCTCCTTTTCTACGGATTTAGGGTTTAGGGTTTAGGCTTCTAGCACAATGTATCTGGGAGCCGGACAGGCTCCAGGCCACTTTGGGCGAAGTGCCGGAAAATCCGCTCGGCCGCATCGCCTTCTTTGCGGTCAAGGCTTTTGGCTCTTATGCTAAGGCCGGGATTGACCCAGGTTATAGGATTTAGGATTTAGGGGGGTTGAGGGGGTACTGTGTTTCGATGTGGGACGACCTGTACCTGATTTTGGGGTCCATATAATAAGGATCCTATTATTAAGGGTACTATATTAGCGTCCCCTATTTTCGGAAACTCCCTGATCCTAAAACCCTATAGATCTTTTCAGGAAGCCCTTATGATACCCGTTAAAGGAACCCTATAAAGGTACCCTATTTTCGGAAACTCCCATATCCCCTAATGACCTCTGCCGCTTCCTTTGATGCGGGTGGTAAGCCAGCCGAAGTTTCTCCGCTCATGCCGCAAGAAACCGAAGCTGCGATTGGGTAGTTCATCGAGGGCTTAGGGTTTAGGGAGAAATCACGAAGGGTACTCGACATATCGACGATCTGCCGGAAATCCGAAGGCACGAATCCCGTCAAGAATTGCCAGGCTGTCCAGAAGATACACCACCGTGCTGACAAGGCAAAAAAAGAACTTTGACGTTCATGCCAGCTGCCTGGAGGAGTTAAGATTTAGCGTTTCGGGTCTGGGGTTTAGGGCTTGCAGGAAAGTTAGGAAACCCTAAACCAAAAAAGCAACAAACCGGGCTTAGGCCACTCGGAGGAGTCCGACTTTCGACAAGGGGCGAGCACGCGGCCGTGCATTGCCACAGGCGGCTAGCGCAGAGCTCCACGAGATGATATCCGGCTGTCTCAGCTCACAGGGAGTTTGGTAATTTAGGGGTTCAGGGGTTTAGGGTCTTGGGGGTTTGGGGGTTTAGGGTTTATAGGGTTTAGGGATTTTAGGGGTTTTAAGGTTTAAGGTTTAGATTTTAGCAGTTTAGGTGTGTAGGGTTGAGGGTTCTAGGGGGTTCAGGGTTTAGGGGTCCAGGGCTTAGGCTATACTACGGCAGTTTTCGGGAACATTGCTTGCTATGTGGCTAGTTTTCGAATGGCAATAACCTCCTCATCCGTCAATATGTGCGTGCAGAGGGCTTTTACGGAAGCACCAAACCGTCACCCCCTGCCCGAACCTGGGTCTCGCACAATTGCACCTTCTCAATAGCCTCCAGCCACTCGAAAGCAGAGGTCACATCCTCAGACTGCCCAACATGTTTGGTTGAAGGTTTAGGACTCAAGCCTGGGTGTTTGAGGCTTGGGATGCAAGGTTTAGGGTTCTGGGCTTGGGGCGGGGTTTAGGTCTGGGCTCTACTGGCTAGGAGATGCAAAACATCTCCTGTTCAGGGAACTGGTGGGGGCTGCTCTAAACTGCGACTGTTAATTGTCCAAAGTTCTCAACCCTCATCCTGGCCCAAACTGCCAAAGCCCCGAAACCCTAAACCAAGGTCCTACAGCCAAAGTCCTGAACCGCTGTTGGAGGTTCATGGGTACTGGTAGCTATCAGTGAGGTTAGAAGTACTGTAGCTATAGCAGCTATAGTTAGCCCAAATGAGGGCACCGCTAACCCCACCTACGACTAGAGTCTGCGGGTACAGCTCCGGAGGCAAGCTCCGAGCTATGCTGAAGTCCCGCTCGGGTTCCTTAATAGGGTCTATTGGGGTCTAGTAGGGTTTAGGGTTCAGGATTTAGATTTATTAGTTAGATTTACTTGAATATTGGGGCTTAAGTTCACAGAAATTCGGAGCCGAAAACCCCAAACCTACAAAAGGCTGGGGAGTGGGCACCAGCTTTCCCACATGCCTTGAGCATCGAATTGTAGGACACCTCTCGGTTTACGGGCTGCGGGTTTGAGGTTCAGAAAGAGTTGCGGTTTTTAGGAATCCAAACCCTGGGGAGTGAACGGCCTTTCGTAAAGGAGACTCGTAACATCTCGCCGAAGCCGAGTGTCTGCTAGGTAGCTTGTTTTAACGCCGTTTTCGATCCATATGCATCGACATGCGTCGCAAGCGGCTACCTGCTGGGATCTGGGAAACAGAACTTTGCCATCTCAGAAAGCGTACCCATGTCACCGTATACTTCGTGAGTCACCACAAAGCCGGGTTTAAGGTTCAGGGGTACAGACTTGAGCTTGACAGTACAAATCAAAAGAAGGCGCAGGGTGGTCGCCTCTCCAAAATCAACAAGCAGTAACCTTCAGTCTCAGCCTGGTTGGAAACAATGGCTCTGACTGTTGCTCTCTCTCTCTCTCTCTCTCTCTCTCTCTCTCTCTCTCTCTCTCTCTCTATATATATATATATGTATATATATATATAGAGATAGGAAGCCAGTATTGGCAGATACTGTATTACCTTGCTCCTGGTTCTACTACTGGCACGAATGTTCTTACCATCGAAGGCTCGTTTCATGGGTTGGAAAACATGAGATGACGTGGACCCCTGCACCACCCACAACCCGGACCACACTGTCATGAACTAGGGATGAGTAGCGATCAGCTTCAGTTTCCGCATTTTCTATGTTGCCCAACTCTTCTATACGCATTTGAAATCGCGTGCCTGAAGAATGTTACCAACGTGAATAATCCAGGTGTCTGCAGTAGCCGGTAGCCTTATGAATCGGCTATCAGTCTGTTGCTCTTGTTGCGATGACTGGGTGATGACTACGACGTCGGCGACTTAACCGACAACGACGACTGTGTTCTCTACTCGTGCACGGTTGCTGAGAAAAAACAGGAAATGCTCCCACTTCTTGAGACATAAAACTACTCACGGTATACTGATACTAATACTGCTACCGCCACCAAAGCGACTATCACCTCCAGGGCCCACACGACTGCACCTGCGACGGCGACTTAGCATGATGCTGGGTACCCTTATGATGTTTGGTGCAACTCGACAGCGACCTGCATCTTGACCATGACCCGAACCCTATAACCCCCAGATACCCAGTAACCTAAGAATAAAAAGGCCTCTCTTTTTGGTATTGGGTAACTTTATAAGGAACCTAGGACTACAAAAAAGGAATAAGGGTACTACTGGGCAGCCTAGACCCCATATCATGCTTGAGCTTGAGCTTCTGGCCAGATTTGGCAACACTTCCCCGGACACCATGTTGTTCATCCAAACGGCCGCTCGAGACACATCCTTAGGTGCTGGAGTTGTGTGGTGTGGTCTGGTCAGGCTTTAGGAGGACTGTCAACCAACAGGACATGCACAAATGAAAACCGATTCAGCACCCCTGCCTACACATGAACCAAAAACCTTGTCGTGGTCCAGCTATGAAAGTTCTGATGACAGGAAGCAAACGTGCCGCCGAAGTCAGTACTGTTCTGCTCTACTGCACTGTTTGGAGAGTTCGGCATTTCTCGTCACCTACCAATTCCAGATACCAGTGCTACAAGAACTAGCGGCCTCAGCAACATGTGCCAGACTTACATGCGTGGTTGTCAAAATTATGATCCCTTTCTGGGTCCCTAATATAGTACGGCACCTAATATTTAGGGTACCCAAAAAGGGACCGTAATTTTGACAACAACCCACATGTACATACCTTCATGTGCGCTCGGTACTATTGGTGCTGCACCTTCCGGCCGTGTCCAGGACATGCAGGCTGACTGATTGAGTCTCAATACGTCACCGAACGACATGCGGATGTGCTGATGACGATGGTTCTTATCATGAAGGCGATGACGACGAGAACGATGTCGAGGGTTGCTGACGTTTTTGTTACTGATGCTGGTGATGATGGTGTTGGTGACCACTGAACTGTCTTTCCTATGTCGTAATATAGCAAGTACCGCTAGTGCTGTTAATGCTGCTGAGAATGGTGTTCATGTTCCTGTTGTTGCACACACCACGGTTTTTTGGAATCGGGGGTTGGTGACAAGGTGTCTTGGACCATTGGATATTTGAACATCTTTAGTTACCGTCGGGCGGAAGGAACAACAATTAGCGTTCGTCGAAGCCTTGTAGTATCGCTTTGGCTCTTGGTGGGGGGGTCAACTTCCTCCACGTTCTAGATTCTGAACCTAAGTTCAAACCCTCAGCCTAAACCTGAGGCCATGAATCGTAAACCTTATCCTACAGTACCGGGAGTTTTTCACTGAACTCCGGGCGCCGCACGCCAGTACGAGCGCAGGCATCCATCAGGGTGTTGTAGCAAGCAGTGTCCGGAGCCTGATCGTGCCGCTTTCTGGACCAGTTCGTTTTCCAGATTTTGGGATGAGGCTTCTTTTTAGGCATTGGTATCAGGGTCCTGATGCCAAGCCTCAGCTGGAAACCCTCAGCTCTAAACCCCAATTGCCCACCCACTTCAGCCGAACCTCAAACCCTACGAACCATCTCATTTGCGAGCCTGAACCGTATTGATGCTGCACCGTAGACCCGAGGATACTTCCTACCGCCTACGTCCTTTATGCTCAAACTCATGCTCGAGCCAGACGTGGCATATGTTTCAAGGTTCCTGCCTCTGCACCTCGTGCGTATTGCCTTCGACACCCCAAAAAGCACGATGAAGCATGCCAGCCCTGAGTCGGACTTTTGTCGGAGCTTACTTCTCTTCTTCAGGATGTCGTATATGTGCACAGTATACTTCCAGTTGTGCATCTGGTGTCACCGTTACCTTACCACTGAGCATGACAGTGGACCCCGCAAGACCCTGCGCCCAAAACCTCAAAAGCCACAACCCCTGAACTATACCCCCCTTTCAACCAGAATAAACGTAAAAGCTCCAATATTCAATTCTCTCGGGTTTGTATGACAAAATCAAAAGTATCCTGTACATCCCCACGTCATCAGCTGCTTCCACGCTGCCAGCACCGAAGCCCTTGCTATCTCGAGTAGCTTGGCGGCCTCAGGGGATCGTGGGGTTCTGGGTTTACGGTTTCAGGGGTTTATATGTGCATATAGGGGTTTACTTTTTTCTTAAGTGCAAGGGCCTACACTGGGGTTTAGGGTTTAGGGTCGGGTTTACGGTATCTAATTTGCAGTTTAAGGTTTGAGGCTTTGGAAGGAAGCTTGTGGCCCTGAGAAAGTAGTGCAATTCCTAGGGTTCCTTTGTCGTTAGTGTATATAGTAAGCCAACAAGCTCCGCCAAAACCCTGCTCAACTTGTCAAGGGCCCAACATCTCAGCTGGCTATTAATCTGTTTAGGCTAGCGGTAAAGCTCACGGGGCTTTGGGTACTGAGGAAAGGTTTGAGGGTCCAGGTGCAGGCTCCAAGATTGGGATATGGACTGACACGGGGGTCTATGGCGGAGGGCCCGCTCGGGACTCTATTCGACGAAAGTGCCAGCTTCCTGTGCTGACAGGGGGGAGGTCAGAGCCATCCTGAAGGCCAATGTTCTCATTCCACAGGCATCTGCACCTTTTCGCGTCTCAGAGCGGATCAGCATACTATAGGGGCCTACATTCCTAAATGAATACCAATACTATTGTGGGGTTCCTTAATGTGGTTGTAGTACAATGTACCCCACAAACCTAGGCAAATATTGATGCCCCCATATACTCAGTGTTGGATCTTGGTGGAAGGCCCCAACCTGCAATCTTCTGCGCAGGGTACTCGAAACTAAAGCCGAGCCGTGCCGGCCAGGATTAAGCTCTTTGGCCGGCACTGCATCCCCCACTAAACATTGCTTGGTGCTGCTAGTTATAGCCAGTCTGCTGCACGTTTCAACACCCACACAACAGACATAATCGGACCATGTGCAGATATGTAAAGTAGGGGCCGCGTGCGCTGCCCTTGAGCCACGCCAGCGACAAGCCAAGAAGCACCTGGCACAAGCATGCCGTGACAGCCGTGCACTGACCCCTTGACCGCACATCGCCAGAGTTCGTGAAAAAACGAAAAAGGCAAGCATGGCGTGGCCCACTCTACGAGTCACGCAAATGCGAGCCCCATCTATACATCTCAGAAGCCTAGTCCATGTACTCGCCCGCCGTGATCGGGATAGAAACTTCTCCACGCATGCTGTCGTCCGAGGGACCCGGACCTGCATGGCTCTTTCCACCACGACGAACGGGTGGTTTCTTCTTTTGGCCCAAGCTGAGGATGCAGGCGGGGCGGGAGAAGACGGCCACGGGCAGGTAGGGCTCAAAAACGATCTTCAGCACCTGGCAGGGCATGCGCCGCATGACGACGCTGGTGAGGGCCGCCACCTCGCCGGAGTCGAGCATCACGAGGTCGCCCGTCTTCAAATTGCCAGCTGCAAGGTAGAGGTTGTCCTCCGCCTTACCCTTTGGATCGGCGACCTGCACCAAGTGGTCCGGCGTCACCTGCAGCACTGCAGCGCCCGCCTGCAACTCCACGACCTCGCGGGCATCGCAGATCTCCGGCGTCTTGGCCACCTCGAGGATGCTCGCGTCGTCTCCGGCCACCACCTGCGACCCTTTTTTGAGGTCCCTCCCCATCAAGAAGAAGTCCGCCCCGTAGCTGCGGGTCTTGAAGATGGCGTCGACCATGAAGCACTGGGGCTTTACTGCGTCCGGCTTCACCGAGAACCACGAGGAGCAGCTCAAGACGGAAGATGCTGTGCCATCATCGTCCACGAAGCTGTACCCCAGCTGCTCGGCAAGATCCGCCTGCTGGCTGCTGGAGCTCGTTTGACTGAATTGCACGCCATGGCGAGAGGGGCCACCAGCATCATGGGCTTGGCGTTGCCTCGCCTCACAAAGCTGGCGCTCGAGCTCACGAATGCGTTCCTTGTGCATGCCCTTCTCTTCGCGCAACTCCAGAAGCTGACCGAGCATCGCCGATCTCTCGGCCTCTGCCTTAGTCAGCTGCAGCTGGAGCACCGCCTTCTCGACCTGCAGCTCGGTCTGGCTCGGGGCCTCAGCCAAGCGCACCTCCGCGAGCTGGCAGCGCTCCTGAAAGCCGCGGCTCTCCTCCTGCAGGCGCTCGACATCGGACTCGGCCTGTGAGAGACGAACCTTGGAGCTGGCATGCTCAACTGCTTCTGCCTCCAATCGGGCCACGAGCTCCTTGGAATGCTCCTGGCACTTGATATGCTCCTCGTGCAAGTGCCAGAGCTGCCGTCCCATTTCCGCCCCTGCTGACTCCGCAGCTGCAGCCCGGTTTTCGAGCTGTTCACGTTGCTTCTCGCACGCTCCGAGCTCCGCCTCCGCCACAACCAGGCGATTGAACGGGTAAATCGAGTCCATGAGCCTTTTTGCGAGCTCGTAGCAGCGATCGCAGGCGTGGGGACAGTGTAGGTACAAAGCCACGCAATGCTCCCGGATCGGCTCTGAGAGGATCAGGTCTCCTCGACAGAGCCCCGAATCGGAAAAACGACAGTTGCCCCACCTGTCATACTTGCCCAGCTCGACGGCGCAGTGCCAGCGCAACGCCTCGAAGAGGAACCCATGCCTCGTCGACTTGCCCGCCAGTTTTGTTGCGAAGCGCTCCTGGCACCGGCCCAGCCACATCTCGGCTTCCTGAGGCCGAGAGGTCCAGAGCTCCACCAGTCGCCCGCTCACCACCTCAAGTGCTCGCATCGCAGGAGCATGTTGTGCACCGTAAGGAGATAACTCGCCGAAGGCGTCGATGACAGTGGCCAGGGGCCAGCCGGAAGGGACTTCGGTCAGCTCATGGAGACATTTTGGCTCGGACTGCTCGGGGGTGGCGACACTCCAAAACATCGTGAAGGGCTGTCGGATTCGTGGCTCTGAGCCTCCAAAGCGCCGAAGGATTTGTGAATTGCTGCGAATCTCCAAACATGCAAAGACCTCTCCGACGATCCCCAGGCCCGGTACACCCCACGGTTTAGGGCTTAGTCCGATTCCTCAGACATGCGACACTTCCTTAAGCACGGCCCCAGACCCCGTAACATGCATACAATCAAACTTCTTGCCGCTATGCACAGTACAATGCAGTTGGTGGCACTTCGCCAGAGTATTGCCCAAGCCTGACCCCTTACTCATAGCCAGCCTAGATCCTAAACAGTACTAGCACCGATGTCCCACCTGATCCGTCGCCCCCCTCCTGCCGACGAGGAGGAAGTCGATTGGCAAAATGAGTCCCTACTTGGAGGGTCGGGGGACTTAGTAAGTCGGTAGTAAGTAGATTTATAAGTACCCTAAAAGGGACCCTAATGTACTTATAAGTCCCCAAAATAATCAGTTACTAAGTCCCCCGACCCTCCAAGTAACTCTACGACCAGGACGTAGAGCGTCCAGTTGAATTCTGAGCCGTAAGACACACCTTAAACTTAAAACCCGAACGCCCTAAGCGAGTCCTAGGATTGTTCGGGTTCGGTTTCTTTAGGGTTGGATACCCCACGCTAGCGACTTGCTAAACGCAAAACCCCGATCTCAAAACTAGATATCGTCTCACCACAGGCTTAATTGACATTTTAGCCAGGAAGGCACACGGCCTACCACATAGCAGCACTATGGTAACTTGGACGAAGCTCCGTAACAAGAGCCTGGGAAATTGAAACGACGGGTTGGCAAGTTGGCGGCATACGTCGCTACGACGAACTCATGCAAAAAAACACACCTGCCACACCTGATTGACACCCACACCCACACAGAGCTACACACGCACACACAGACGCAGAGACCCAAGCAGAGACACACATACACACACATACACACACAGACACAGACAGAGACACAGAGACACAGACGCAAGACACAGAGACAGGGACAGATAGGACAGAAGGCAGACAGACAGACGGACGGACGAACGGACACACGGACAGACACACGGAAACACAGATGCGCAGACGCACAGACAGACAGACAGACAGACAGACAGACAGCCAGCCAGCCAGGCAGGCAGGCAGGCAGGCAGGCAGGCAGACAGACAGACAGACAGCCAGGCAGGCAGGCAGGCAGGCAGGCAGGCAGACAGACAGACAGACAGACAGACAGGCGGACTGACACACTGGCACTCACTGACTGACTGCCTGCCTAACTGACGGACTGATCGACCCTGAACCTGTCCTGGCGAAGCCGGTGATCAAGGTTGTGAAAGCTACCATGTCGGGCTTGATGCCTGCCAAAGGCTGAGCTTTAGAACCCAGACCTACAGGCTTGTATAGGGTTTTCTGGTGTTTTGTTTGTGGCTTGAAGAGGGCAGTGATGGTCCAAAATTATAGAACCATATATGGCTTCGAGATTGCCGTGCATATTTATCCATCGCAAGACCTAGGCCTACAAACTAGCGAATTCTGAATTCGAGATCTTCAGCTTTTGCACCCCCTAACTCCTACGCCCCTAACTCCTACACCCCTAAACCCCTAAACCTAAACCCCTAAAGCCCTGGTCCTATTTGGGGGGGAGCCTTAAAACTTAAAACCCTAAACCCCTAAACACCAAACCCCTGAACCCCTTAACCCCTAAACCACCAACGGCGTGACAGCAAGGCTTCAGAGGATTGTCAGCTACCTTGTTTGTAGCCGTAGATACTATACAAGTCCCACGATCCTTCAAGTAGAGCCCCAATAAGCTGGCGCGATGTCCTTCAATGCACCCGTCCTTCAACATCCTTTACGGCCGTCCCCGACCAGAAAAGTAACGACCACTGCTGTAGGAGATGGCGCCTAGCCAAACCCAAGCCCAAACCCAAGCCGACTCTCTAACCAGGCGTCTCAAAAGGATGTGGTGATGAGGCCTGCTCCAGCCATCTGCTCAAACCACGACGATGCGGAATCACAGTCGTCCTGGCCAGGGATCGAACCTCACACTTCTTAGAAGTCCGTGGGCAGGTTTTGGCATGATAGAGCTTATAAGTATATATAAGTATATATATATATATTATATACATCTATAAATAATATAGGACCCCCCAAACCTGCAACCCCCAATATTTTGGGGTTACGGAGCCAGGGTTTCTCAATCGGATTCCTTCGCCCTTCAGGTTGCTCCGCGACTCCGGGGAGCTTGTGTTGTGCCGGGGAAGTCTTCAGAGCTTCACCTCGAAAACGAGGAAAAATCAAGGCTACACATACCTGTATAGTATATACGTAGGCCTTGGGTACTTTAAGGTTTTAAGGAATTAAGGCCTAAGTGTATACTTTATATCCAGGTACCTGAGCCTCGGACCCTAAAGCCAAAAATCCTCCAAGCCTGAAATCCTGAAGCCCGAGCATGCTGGACCCCGAACGTCAAAACCCACAGCATACACACAAGACAACCTGGACCCCGGCACCCTTGACCCTTTTGTACCATTCAGCCGAAACTCGCCTCCTTGACGAAGCTGTCAATCACGGTGGTGTAGGACATCTGTCAAGAAGCAAAGGGCCGGTTTAGGGTCTAGGTCCAGTTTCGGGTTTCCGGGTGAATCGAGGCAGACTGCCGGCCGGGACACAGGCTCTGAGTAATCGTGCTATCCAGCACGGGACGCCGCAGCCCTAAACCCTGAACCCATATTGGGGGACGGATAAGCCCACGAATAACTACCCATAAACCTCCAAGTGGGCAGCCCCTAATTTACGGCTTCCGTTGTGTAGAGTTGTACGTACGAGGAGAGTTTGGCTCGGAAGCCCGAGCTAAACCTTTACTACACGAAACCCTACTTGGAGGACTTAGTAAGTAGGTAGTAAGTAGACTTATAAGCAGTACCATAAAAGGGACCCTAATTGGGGTTATGGTACTTATAAGTCCCCAAAATAACCAGTTACTAAGTCCCCCGACCCTCCAAGCAACCCCCCGATAGCCCTAAACCCATACACCCCGATATAACCCTTAACCCTAACCCCTATGACTATATAACCCTAAACCATATTACTATATAACCCTAAACCCTAACTCGTAATCCCCTAAACCCCAGACCCCTACAGTCGACCCCTCGCTTCGGCGCTTCTATGGTCTAAACATCAAACTTAGGGCCAACGAGACGAGCTAAACCCCAAAAGTATGTAGAATAATTTATGGGTATTGGGCCATTATTTTACCTACTTTGGGAGGTTTAGGGAGCCGGCATGGGGCGCCGGTCTTCGCGCATGACGGTATGCTCAAGCGCATTCTGGGAAACCTCGATGAAGCACCTCCGGTTTGATGGACCTCTTATAAAACCCCAAAAGCCCAAAACCTCGAATTCCCTATTCCAGCGGGCGAACCCTTAAACGCTCCTTGTGATCACCGAAAACCCTAAGCACATCTGTATGTGAACTCTACAAGCATCCTACTACTCCCAAATAGACTAAAGCCAGCTCCCCAGGCTTTCAGTTAAGCCTAGACCCCAAAACCCTAAACCCCTGAAACCCTTAATCCCCTCAAGCCCTAAACCCTTCAACCCTGCACCCCAAAAGCACCTAAACCCTCCAACCCTGAACCCCAAAGGCCCTAAACCCGCAATCTTAACTCAGGTTTCTGCCTGAGTCGGTCGTAGGCTCGCTTCTACCATCCTGTCACAGGATGACCCTAGGGCTCCCGGCAACTAAGCAAAAGGTTACTTGCAGGGTCGGGGGACTTAGTAAGTAGGTAGTAAGTAGACTTATAAGTACCCTTAAAGGGACCCTAATTGGGGTTATGGTACTTAGAAGTCCTTAAAATAACCAGTAACTAAGTCCCCCGACCCTCCAAGTAAGCAGAAGGTTAGGGTTTTGGTTTTTAAGAATTGCTTAGGGTAACTAATTAAGTTGTATAAGTTGTATGCTAAGGTTCAGGGTTGAGGGTTAAGGGGTTGTTCAGGGTTTGGGCTCAGGCTTTGGGTTTGTAAAGAGAAGGCTTGGGTTTAGGGTTCAGAGTGTTTTAGGGTTTGGTTTAGCGCTTGGGTACCTGATAGTGCGTTACTCACGATGCATGATGTAACCCAGAAAGCCATGAAGTCACTAAGTGTTGAGACTTGTTTGAGACGTGGGGCTTTGGGTGTTAACAGGTCCTTAGCCGTCCAAATCCTATGAACCCTGCAGAATTGGATAGCATATGCAGAGGGCGGGCCTAAAATGGATGCAATATCGTCCAACTCAAGATAGTTGCTGCGCAGCCCCAGTCGGCCTCACTTACCCCTCCCAGGACGACTGGAACTTTTACCCTAAAGCTCCAGATTCAGGTGGACACCTGAGCCCAGTGTAAACTCTGCACTGCTGTGTTTATGTTAAACAACCCCGGGATTCTGACGCTGGTAGCTCCGAGCATATGGCTTGATGCCCATGAGCTATACCGAATGAATTCGGTTTCGGGCTCTGGGATTTAGGATTCAAGGTTTAGGGTTTGGGGGTTTATTGGAGGTTTAGGGGTTCAGAGTTTTAGGGCCTAGGGGTTTAGGGTTGAGTGCACAGCAGAAGGTCATGACTGCAACAGCAAGCACGGAACCGCATCTACAATGAGTAGTAGGGTCCATGACTTGTTTCGAACTGGCTAAACTTTGGTTCCAGATTTCACCCAGAACCCTAAACCTAAACCCAAAACAGCAAAGCCTGACCCCTGAAACCAAAATCCTGCAAAGCTCCCCCGCCTGACCCCTGAACCCAAAATCCCGCAAAGCTCCCCCCCCCCCCAAGCCCAGCCTGTCTAGCCACTTGACAGCTTCGGTCGGCTGACCTTCA